ATCAATGTGTGGATGTAAACGTGTTTGAGAAGATTGCAGACTCTACAACAGCAAAGGCTGCATGGGACACTCTGGTGAGATGTTATGGTGGTGACGCATCAGTGAAGAAGGTGAAGCTTCAGTCCTTGAGAAAGCAATATGAGAATCTCAACATGAAGAATAATGAGAAAGTTTCTGAATACATCTCCAGAGTGATTCTGATCACTAATGAGATGAAGGCATGTGGAGAAACTCTTTCTGAAGAAACAATCATGGAGAAAGTGTTGAGATCCCTTACTCCTCAATTTGATTACATTGTGGTAGCAATAGAACATTCCAAAGATCTGAGCACAATGAGAATTGAAGAGCTGCAGAGCAGTCTAGAAGCGCAAGAGTTGCGTCTGACTGAGAGAAACTCTGAAAAGGAAGTAGAACAGCAGGCTCTGAAAGCAACTTCTGATAGGAGGTATCAGAAGCAGTCAGAAGCCAGGAGAAGATCTGATGGTGGTCAGAAGTCAGAAACCTCAACCTCTGATAGACAAAAGAATGCTCAGAAGGGAAAAGAGAAGTATGACAAGAAGAAGATCCAATGTTACTGTTGTAAGAAGTTTGGTCACTTTGCTAGAGATTGTTGGTCAAACAAGGAGAAGAAATCAGAAGAAGCAAATATAGCCAGAAGTTCTGATGACGAATCTGTGCTATTGATGGCCTCTGAATCTGATGATCTGACAGACTGGTGGTATATGGACACTGGCTGTTCAAATCATCTTACTGGAAACAAGAAATGGCTGGTTGACTTTGACTCTGAAAAGAGAACAAAGATCAGATGTGCTGATGACAAATATCTTAATGCAGAAGGTATGGGAAATGTCAGAGTGACTCTGAACAATGGAAAAATAGCATTGATTCAGAATGTGTGGTATGTACCTGGCATCAGAAGCAATCTGATGAGTGTGGGACAATTAATTGAGAAAGGTTTCTCAGTTACCATGAAGGACAATCTTCTAAAGCTGTATGACTGTAATCAGAAGTTGATTATGGAGTCAGAACAGGGAAGGAATAGAACATTCAAGGTGAATGTCAGAACTGCAGACTCAGAGTGTCTTAGTGCAACAAGTACTGAGAAGGAGAGTGAGCTGTGGCACAGAAGATTTGGTCATTTGAATTTCAGAAGCTTACAACATCTGAATTCAAAGAAATTGGTACATGGAATTCCTGCAATTAAGAAGCCTGAAAAGTCATGCAAAGTTTGCATGGAAGGAAAACAACCAAGATTGCCATTTGCATCAGAAGTTGCTCCAAGAGCAAAACATGCCTTGGGAGTTGTACACTCTGATGTGTGTGGTCCATTTCCAGTAGCATCAATTGGAGGGAATAAATACTTTGTGTTGTTTGTTGATGAATTCACAAGAATGACATGGGTATCCCTTATTAAGTTCAAACACGAGGTGTTTGATGAATTCAAGAAGTTCAGAATGAAGGCTGAGAATCAGAGTGGTCAGAAGTTGAAGATTCTTAGAACTGATGGTGGAGGTGAGTATAACTCCAAAGAGTTCCAGAAGTTCTGTGAGGAGAATGGAATTGAGCATGAGGTTACTGCTCCTTATACCCCTCAACACAATGGTCTTGCTGAAAGAAGAAACCGTACTTTGCTTGATATGGTGAGAAGCATGCTAAAGGAGAAGAAGCTTCCTCAGAAGCTCTGGGGAGAAGCTGTTGCCACTGCAACGTATGTACTCAACAGATGTCCTACGAAGAAGTTGAAGAAAATAGTTCCTATGCAGAAGTGGACTGGAGACAAGCAAAGTGTTAGTCATCTGAAGGTATTTGGTTCTGTTTGCTATAAACATGTTCCAGAAGCCAGAAGACAGAAGCTGGATGATAGAAGCAAAGTGATGATTCTGATAGGGTACCACAGTACAGGTGCATACAAGCTCTATTGTCCAGAAACCAATAAAATTGAATTCAGCAGAGATGTGATTGTGAAGGAATCAGAAGTTTGGAATTGGGATAAGTCTCAATCTGATTCTGATGTTAGAACCTCTGAAGAAAGGCCAGAGTTAAGAATTTCTGAAGTTGAAGTAAACCCTGACGTTGACTCTGACTCTGATACTGATTCAAACTCTGAAGATGACTCAGAAGATGAAGGTGACTCTGATGACCCAGACTCTGATGATTCAGACTCTGATGGCAATCCAGATCTTGGTAGCAATTCAGACTCTGGAAATATGCCAGACTCTGAAGATGGTCAAAGCTCTGGAGGTCAATCATCTGAAGCTAGAAACTCTGAAGTTCAAGACTCTGAACAAGTTCAGAGACCACAAAGAATCAGAAGCATTCCCAGAAGATTTGCAGAATTTGACATGCTGCAAGACACTGAAGTAGACTCTGAAGGAGAAGTTATTCAGTGTGCCATGTTAGTAGACTCTGAACCTATAAGTACAGAGGAGGCTCTTAAGCAGAAGCTCTGGCTGAAGGCCATGAAAGAAGAACTTGATGCTATAGAGAGAAACAAGACTTGGAAGCTGACAGAACTTCCAAAAGACAAGAAAGCCATCAGCGTCAGATGGGTTTTCAAGCAGAAGTTAAAGCCAGATGGCTCAATTGGCAAACATAAAGCAAGGTTGGTAGCCAGAGGATTTCTACAGAAACCTGGGCTGGATTATTCTGAAGTGTTTGCACCTGTAGCAAGACATGAAACAATCAGAATGGTGATTGCAATAGCTGCTAACAGGAATTGGCCTCTGATGCATTTAGATGTAAAATCTGCATTTCTGAATGGTCCATTAGAAGAAGAAGTTTACGTGTCACAACCTCCTGGATTTGAGAAAAAGAATCAGGAAGGGATGGTGTACAGATTATACAAAGCTCTATATGGACTGAAACAAGCGCCCAGAGCTTGGAATCAGAAGATTGATTCATTTTTCAAGAAGCAAGGCTTTCAGAAATGTGAGATGGAGTACGGTGTCTATGTTCAGCATACTTCTGAAGGCAATATGACTCTGGTATGTTTATATGTTGATGATATACTATTGACTGGAAGTTCTGAACAGGAGATAGCCAAGTTCAAGAAGGTTCTAATGAATGAATTTGAAATGACTGATCTAGGCAAAATGACATACTTTCTAGGGATGGAGTTCAGATATTCTGAGAAAGGTATCATTTTGCATCAGCTCAAGTATGAATTAGAACTTCTGAAGAGATTTGATCTGAAGAATTGTAAGATGGCTGTCACACCTTCTGATACAAATCAGAAACTGGATTCAGACTCTGAAGGAAAGGATGTGGATGCTACAACCTTCAAACAGTTGGTTGGTTCTCTGAGGTATCTGTGCAATACCAGACCTGATATTTGCTATTCAGTTGGGATGGTTAGTAGGTTCATGAGTAAACCTAAGTGGTCCCATTACCAAGCTGCTGTCAGGATTCTGAGGTATATCAAAGGAACTCTGAAGTATGGAGTGTTATTTCCCTCTGGTGGAAATAATGAGTCAGAACTTCTGAGTTATTCAGACTCTGATTGGTGTGGAGACAGAGTTGACAGAAGAAGTACATCTGGGTACTTGTTCAAATTTCTGGGAGGTCCCATTTCTTGGTGTTCCAAGAAGCAACCTGTTGTGGCGTTGTCAACCTGTGAAGCTGAATACATTGCAGGTGCTGTTACTGCATGCCAAGCTGTGTGGATTCTGAATCTGTTGCAGGATCTGAAGATTAAGGTAGACAAACCTCTGAAGTTGATGATTGACAACAAGTCTGCAATCAACCTTGCCAGAAACCCAGTGCTGCATGGGAGAAGCAAGCATATTGAGACCAAGTATCATTTTCTGAGACATCAAGTTCAGAGTGGAGTGTTAGAAGTTGTACACTGCAGCACTCAGAAGCAGTTGGCAGATGTTCTGACGAAAGCTATCAAAACTGATCAATTTCTCAGATTAAGGGATGGAATTGGTGTCACAAGTTTTGATGGAATATGAATTAAGGGATGGTATTAGAATATTATTAATAATTCATATTCATTTAGTTGTATTATTTTCTTGACCCCTAAGTTTGTTAGAGGGTATTTTAGTATTTATCTTATTCTAGTAACCCTAGTTTTAGCTTATAAATAGGGTGACAATCATTGTAACAAAATATCATGTTTTGTAGCCGTCATTCTCTTATTAGTAATATTTCCTATTTCATCATTTATTCTATCTTTGCACCAACAAGAATTGGTTTCTTAATCATACTACGCACACCATGACCAATTGAAATGTACTGGATGAGAAGTTTCTTAATTATTTCTTCTCTCATAAAATGTTCATGGACACGAAAACAACAATTGCAGTCTTTTCACAAGGTACAATTGAAACAGATACAAATCCATAAATAGGTTTCTACAACAACCAAGTTCTATGATGTCTCATTTTAATGTTACGAAGAGAATCCTAAAGAACTCTAAATAAAGATGGAGGGATAAGATGTATTACTTTTCTATCTATATATGCTGATAAATAACAAGTACCACATGATAAGTGTTTCATTACTATTTTTTATTATTACTTGTAAAAAAGGATGTAATTGATTAGATTCCACCTTTCTAGGAAGTTTGTTTATTGGATTCCTTATTCAAACAAACACCATTCTCCAACTTGTGCAAAATCTTCAATGTCCAACAACATTGTAGCAAAAGGGAACTGTGTCAGAACTCAGAACAACAACCATATTTCCCTTACAACCAAAAAGAGACACAAAAAATTTTCATTTTTTTTATACCTTCCAAAGCCAAAGGTAGCTATAGAAAAGTATGACATGAAATAATACAACTTCCTATTTTTTTTCCTTCTGATAAATCACTCGATTATTCGTCGCTGCACACAAACGTTACACGAAACAATCATCTCTCTTGGTATTATCTTTCTGCAGATGAACAAATCACAGATCAGCAACTCCACTCAACTTCTTATGTCAAGTGAAATTTTTGTCCTGCTGAAAAAACTGCACCAAATATAATTTCCGCTATAAACTCCGAAATTCGAAATTCACCAAGACGTAAACCAACCATCTCTTTTTTTATCATTTGAACTTTCTTGATGATTTGACAAATAGTAACAGTCTGAACAATGGTCGGGGAATATTCTTTCCGTGAGCGGCTCACAAGGTTCCGGCGAAACCGTGTCAGAGTAGCCTCTAACATTAGAGCAGTTCCATGGATAGTTTGAGCTTACGTTAAGGATGATGTTTGAGAAGCAGATATCGATGAAACTGTCGCCTTCTATACCTTCTATAAGACCCGCTTTTTTAACATTTTCTCCTTTCACGTCCTCGATTGTAATCTTTTCGATTACTGGTAGAGCGTTTGGGTCATAACCATCGTCTGGATGGTCGCCATATAAACCGGTGAACCTGATTGCGATATCGACATTAGTCAATGTAATGTTAGAGACATAGATGTTTCTAACATAACCCCCTCTGCCAGGTGAAGTCTTTATTCTGATTGCTGTATATGAATCGTAAAAGCGAATGTCTTGAGCATGAACGTTTGATACACCGCCCGACATCTCACTTCCAATAGCGATTCCTGCACTAACTTGAGTTTTCCCGACAAGTCTGTGGATGATAATGTTTGTGCTGGGACGACCAAATGCAATTCCATACTCATCCCACCCACTTTTGATGGCGATCAGATCATCGCCAGTACTTATGTAACAGTCTTCTATGCATACATCATCGGAAGAATCTGCACACATTTTGAAAATTGTAAATTAATCAGAACATTACATTCTAGTCTAAAGAAGTATCCGAGACTCTGAGATAAAGATCATTAATCAGAGTTAGTTAGGTTAGTTATCCTCGTTATCTTCTTTATTCTCATATGGACTCGGATCACATGTATAAATAGAGTCTTTTTGTATTCATTATTGATCGATATTTCAGTAATAGGCAGAAAGTCTACCTGGATCAATCCCGTCGGTGTTTGGAGAATCAAGAGGAGCAAGAATCGTCACGTTCTGCACTGTAACTTGGCTGCAATATACAGGATGAATAGTCCAAAACGGAGAATTCAAGAAGGTTAAGTTCGAAATGAGAATCCCGGTCGAATTCATCAATTCTACCAAATGAGGACGCGTATAATCCAAAGTTTTGTTCCTAAACTTGCTCCACCAGATACTCCCTTGACCATCAATAATCCCCTCGTTACCTTAATCGACACAACAACAGCATCAATAAATAAACCAACAGGTATAGAGAAAACAATTATCGGTTGAATTTGAAAACAAATAACCTGTTATGATAACATCAGTCAAATCGCTTCCATAGATGAGGCTCCTATGCCTTGCACCCGGCAACTCCCTTCCTCGTCCATAAGACGGTAGAGGATCAACAACCGGCCAATCCTCAGAGTTCTGTAACAAAAAAAGAATATCAGAATTCGCGAAGATTAGCCTAACAAGTTTTTAGTACTTACCATATAGATTACCGACACATCAATCATCAATTTTATAAAATCAGTACAGAATCCTTTTATAGTAAATTAAACCATATCTTAGAAATGACCTATATATAGTTATCAACTAAAATAAACCAGAACTACATTGATTGATTGATTCATTAATAAGAATAAGAAAATTATGCAGAAACCGAAAGCGACATTGCAAATCATTAACAAAGAGCGGTCGATTACCGTTGATCCAAGAATTACAGCATCCTTATCCAACCACAGAGTTAGGTGGCTAATGAGATCAAAACTACCGGTTAACCACCGACCAGCAGGAACAAAAAGCTTAGCTCCTCCTTTATCTGAGAAAGAATTTAGGTAGAAAATCGCATTCTGAAACGCTTTCGTATTGAGAGTGATCCCGTCTCCAACAGCACCGAATTCAGTAATACTGACACTATGAGGCCTAACTTTCTCCAAATTTGTCTCTTTGCAAAGTGTGATGCTCCACACTTTCCATGAGCTACAACACAACAATGCAAGTACCAGAAACACATCCACAACCTGCAAAACCAGAAAAATTCACCATCAGTAGCAGCTTCCCGATTTCGGATTCTATCAATTTTACTAAACCAACAACAAAATTTCTTCTTCAATTCAAACCGAAGCTAAAAAAAACTACAACTCGAGTAGGATCTACTCAGATCAGTTACATTATCACAAAAACAACCAAAATTGAAGGAAAAAAAATCACAAAATCATAATAAAATCAACAACTACATAATCAAAGTAGTAACTATTCTTGATCTGCATAAACTAAAAAAATAAAATAATATAAAAGACAGTTATAGATCTTACTTAATTACTCAATTAAACAACAACATTGAAAAACAAGAGAGAAGTAAAACTCACAGTTAGAGATGAAAATCTCCTCATATGAATGAGATCCGTTTTCACCTTTTGAATTGAAAAAGACAAGAAAATTGAACAAGAGTGTTTAGTTATGTTGAGCAAGAAAGAAGAAGAATGATGATATTGATAGAAGAGTAAGCACAGGAGCACTCAAAAATCATTGATAGAGACTGTTGTTGCTAACAAAAACATAAACAAGAGTAGGACCCTCTAATGGTTGAATTGAAATTGAAAATTGTTTCTCTCTCTAAGGAGTGAAGAGAGAGAAAGTGTAACTGAAATTAGTAGAGTTATGAAGAAGAGAGTGAAAGTGAGGAAGCTGTTGATGTTGGAATTGGAATGAGGTGGTTGTTGTTAAAATGGAGACAGTGATTTCCAACAAGGAAACAGAAAACTAGGTTCAAGTTTTTTTCATAAAATTGAGGATTTGCATGGTTTTGATGTTGTTGAGGTTGTTGTTTTTTGTGAATGATAATGTTTCTTTTCTTCAAAACCCCAATTTTCTTTAGTTTGTAAGCTCCGTCAATTATAAGTTATCACTTTTTTTATTTTTTATTTTTTTTATTTTTTTTATTTTTTTTTATTTTTTTACTTTTTAACTACTTCATACTAAAAGTCTACAAGTATATTAGTACTAGTAGTAGTCAAATTTTAGTAATCATTTGTTCTTTGTTTTTCCTAAATTAAGTCAACATAATAATAAAACGTTATCAAGTTGTTAAATATGGAGTGTTTTTCCCTAAAAATATATGTTTGTTTTCATTTTTCAAATTGGTTAAAGTTTACTAAAATTAAGTTTGTTGTACTAACATTTTACAACGGTCTAATTTGAAATTTTAATTTTTTTTTAATTATAAAATCAAGTTGTTAACAAAGTTGACATTTTATAAATCATGTCATATAAATTAGAGGTTTATATTAGTGATTAAGGATGATAATTTGACTCACAAAACTCACAATAATACATTAGTATTTATTATACCTTATATCAAACGTATTTGACCTACTAAAAAATAGTGGGTTGGCCAGTGCGTATGTTAGTATAGTTATTAAATATTTATTTTGATTAATTGAAAAATAATATAGAAACAACATCAAAATTGTGACGTATATTTCTTGATTACAGCTTTTGATTAACAATGAAAATGAAGAGAGAAGAAGATGATGGTAAAATGTGGAAAGATTGAAGAAGAAAATGGCAGGAGACAAAAAATTTAGCCTAAGAAAGCACAACCTGTATTCAACTCTGTCACTCTGCGGTTCATATATTTTTGTCAATGTCAGCCTAGCCCTACTCAAACGTCTTCCTCAAATTTCTCTATTCACATAAAACTTACTATACTACTATTTTTTTTTAATATTTTTTAATATATTAAAAAGTGAACTTTGTAACGTGATTGGACCGAAAAAACTATTAATAAATTGGCCAACATCATGGAAAATGAAATAGTTGATGGTTTGGTTTCCCAATCCTAGGATTGTGCTGTGTTATGTGAAGAAATAATAACCCAAAAAGTAAAATTTTAGAGTGAAGCAATAATATTAATTTCTTCAGCGACTATAATAATGTTATTCAACATAAGTTCCAACGTGAAAATAAAAAAAATAAATATTTTATGTGAAAATAAAAAATAGTTTGTGGGAAAAAAAGAAGAGAGCATGGTGTTTTAGAAGAGACAAGATTAGAGAGACATAAATTTGTGGCATGTGAAAAGTGAATGTTTCCAAAGTGAGGTATCCTATGCTAAGATATACCAACGGTAAATAAGGTGATAGATAGTATAATATACATGGGGATGAACCAATTTCATATACATAGTTTTGTATAAAGCATTTTCATTTTTAGGTTTTGTCTTTTACTATAAAAGATAAAAGAGCCAACACTTGTTTCAATTTCTCAGTATTTTGCACACACTTGTTTCATATTCTCTCAGTATTTTGATTTAGAATCTAACTAGTAAAATTCTTGTCCATACACGCGAGTATATTTATAATACTCGCATTTATTTTTAAAATAAAATAAAATTATTTAATTAAAATTTTTATTATTTTAAAAGAGATAATAAATTGAACTCTATAATTACTTGAACCAAAAATACTATACTTTTTCGTATATAAATATTATTTTTGTTTTGATATTGTTTATTAATTTTTTGAATTAATATATTTTTTTTTATGTTATTATTTGATATTTTGATCAATAATTTTATGTTTCGGTTATAATAGATTTGTAATTATGTATATTAAAAAAATTTAATCAACAATATATTTTTTTGGTATATCAATATTATTTTTAGTTTGACAATATTATGACTCAATAGTGAACTTGTTCCGTATATAATTATTAATTTAAAATTCTCTTTTTAAAGATATAATCAAATCTATTTTAAAAAATAATCAAATACATCAAAATTAATTATAGATCTTTAAAATTAATTTTTATTTTTTAAAATATATATAAATTAAAGATACACTATATCACATATTTTTTATACTACGTGATCTAAAATAGGGTGAGGCATGTTAAGAATAAAATATTATACTTTCAAGTATAAATAGATTTTTCACTATTATAAAAGGTCTGCCTTTGTTTGAATAACGTGCTTCCTAATGAACAATGTGATTTAGCAATGTATTTCACATGGTGTAACATGTCATAAATGACATAAATTCCAAAGGTAGAGAATGCAATCTTCATGATTATGCATTATCACATATTATATAGGGAGGGTTAGTTAATATCAAGGTCTAGTAGACATGGAATAAATGGTTAGAGAATGTGGAATGAAGTAATTGTATTTTCTTATATGACACGAGGAATTGAGCACTCTTCAACTACAAATTCATGTAACAATGATATATGTTGAATTGTAATGTCTTGTGTCGAAGCAGGTTGTTCGATAGGAGTAAGGAAGTGACGAAATTGTATTAGTGTCGTAATGTCGAAATGTATCTTCACGGATATTTCGACATAAATCTAATTTTGTAGTGTTATCAGAATTAAATATTTTGGGCCTTGTTTAAGCTCAAAATCTATAAATAGGGAGTAATCCCTATCATTATATAAGAGCTTATAGTTGCAAAGAATAAAATTCCAATTTTGAAGTAGAGAGAAGCTCTGTAGAAAATCTTTTCTTCTTCTCTTATTTTCTCTGAAACCCTAATCTTTCTTTCTTCCTCAAATTCAATTTTTCTTTTCTTCCTTCAATTATCAATTGTGCAGGGCTACATGATAACGAGAAATCGTATCATATTTTTAGGCACATTGTGTGTATTATTTATCTGTATTTTATTGAGTCTTGTTGCATTTTACTTTGTTTTATTGTATTTTGCAGATATCAGGTTCATCCGTTGCGGATTCGGAAGCAACTCGAAAAAAGAGTGAGAGAATAGCAAAAGCGCGACAAAAGAAGCATTTTTGACTCTGTTGCTGATATGGTGTTCGCCATAGGTAGATGGCGTTCGTCATCTTCAAGCCTGACACGTCAGAGCAGCAGTTAGAAGCAGTTTTTGCAACTCATTTTTTCCTCCACTCTCATGCACGACCAGAGCAGTTGCAGAGCCATTATTTTTCTATATATAGGACCTCTGAGACACATTCCGGAACATCCAAGACGTGCGGAAGTGTTGTAGAAATTTTGTTTATTGTTTTAGGCATAAATCAGTGTAAAGCGACAATAACTCACACTAAGAAATTGTCGCACTTATTATTTTAGTTTTCTTTTCATTGTTGTACTCTTGGATCACGAACAAAGTTTGCTGGCATTTTAATTCAAGTTTCGTATTTATTTTACATATTCATTTTGCATTTTTATTTGCACCTATAATTTCTTTAAATTAGTTTACCATGCTAGTTTTAAGTATGATTATTGTGAATATGTTCATTGTAAATAATATTATGTTTTGTTAAATTAATTGAATTCGGCGTATGAGGATCATCGTTATCGACGATGCTAGTTTTAAGTATGATTGTTGTGAATATGTTCATTGTAAATAATATTATGTTTTGTTAAATTAATTGAGTTTGGCGTATGAGGACCGTTGTTACCGACGGGACTCAGTAGAAAAATTTAGGTGTGAATTTATGATTGTATGTTAGTTTTGGTTTTAGTTTCCAAATTTCATGTTTTATCATTTCGACATGAGAGTGAGGAATAAACTAAGTTCGGACCGATAGCACGAGAGTGTGAGGAATGAACTAATAGTGAAAACTAGGCATCGATCCTAAAAACAGCGAGAGTGCTTTAGGCATTGTTTAGAATCTCATTGAATTCCAAAAACGCTTTTTAATTAAAACCCGCGAGCGAGAGTAAAATCCTGTGGTTAGAAAGTGTGGTTCTTGTCAATAGCGCGAGAGTGTGAGACAGAGTCTTTAGGTTGATATTTTCTAAGGAGCTAAGTTCAGTCGTAAATAGCACCTGATTTCTACAAGTCCCTTAGGCACGGGGAATCCATATTCTGGACTCATTTCTTCTTTATTTCCAAACCTTTAGAAATTAGTATTTTCCTTCCCGTTCGTAATTTGTTGATCACTAGCCTTAGCTTTGGACTGCAACGATAGATAATATTAGTTTGACTATCAATTCCCTGTGGCTTCGACAACTTTTTTAAGACTTAACAAACAATTGTATACTTGCAGTTATTTATCCGACGGACAAGTCAATGTCGCATTACGGTCAAGTTAACAGTGTAACACTCATTTCTACCCCCACAAATATAATGGCAAATCAATCATATTTATCAGAGTAAAATATTGAACACAATAAAATCATCTAAAAAGGGCGTACATTTCTCAATAATTCAAATATAGTCAATGCTTCGTAAACAACGGATTTTCCCAAAATTACTCAAAATATTACTCAAAAGGCAGCGGAACTCAAAAGGCAAAATCCAAAGTTTTCCTTGCGCAGCAACATAATCAAAATAACAATAGTCAATAAAACATGGTTCAACTCAAAATACCCCAACCCGATGTTACACTATCAGAGCAAGACCCTCTAAGTCAACCACAATGGCCAACGATC